TTTTAGAGATCATCTGAAGACACTAATAACTGAAGACCAGTAGAGTTGGGGGATGACATCAAGATCATCACACAGACTTTTGCCTTGATACGTTCCTCAAAGCAGATGAGCCACCCGTGAAAATTCGGCCAGGGTTCCCGCTCTTGCCCATGTGCTCAAACGGGCACTGTCTAGGCCAGAAATACGGCCTCAAAATGTCCTAACAGTGCTCTGTCAGTATGCGAAGGATCTAGGCTTCATCGAGTTGGACTAAGTGATCATCTTTGAATGGATTATCCAAGACACATCTACTTAACAAAACAACGTCAACACTGTACATAAAATAAAACTTACAATTCTGAATAAAAAAAAATAATAAAAATAAAAAAAGAACACACAGGAAGAAAGCAGGTCATTAAGACAAAAAAAGGAAAAAGACCAAAATAAATGTCAGAAGAGAGTCTGAAAGTTGCTCTGCATGAAAGAGATGCTAAGACAAATGGAAGAAATGAGGAGGTAAAAGAGCTGAAAAGAAAATTTTAAAGGGCATCTGGAGAAGACAAAGTCAAGTAATGTAATGAAATGTATAAAGACCTGGAGTTAGAAAACCAAAAGGGAAGAACACACTCAGCATTTCTCAAGCACAAAGTACTGAAGAAAAATTCCAGCCTCAACTTGCAGTCCTGAAGGATTCATTGGGCAAAATATTGACTGATGCAGAAATAATTCTAACAAGGTGAAAGAAAAAGAAGAAGGTGGAAGGAATACACAGTCACTGTACCAAAAAGAAATGGTTGATATTCACCCATCTCAATAGGTAGCATATGCTCAAGAGCCAGTGGCACTGAAGGAAAAAGTCCATTGTGCACTGAACACATTGACAAAGAACGAGGCTCCAGGAATTGATGGAATACCAATTAAAATCTTTCAACAAACTGATGCAGCACTGGAGGCACTCACTCATCTCTGCCAAGAAATTCGGAAGATGGCTACCTAGCCAACTGATTGGAAGAGATCCATATTTTCCCATTCCAAGGAGAGGTGACCCAATGGAATGTGGAAATCATCAGACAATATCACTAAAATCACAGGCAAACAAATTTTAGCTGAAGATAATTCCACAATACCTGCAACAGTACATTGACGGGAACTGCCAAAGGCTCAAGTTGGATTCACCCCAGGCCATGGAATGAGGGATATCATTACTGACCTCAGATGGATCTTGGCTAAAAGCAGAGAATACCAGAATGCTGTTTACTGGTGCTCTATTGACTACACAAAGGATTTCGATTGTGTGGGTCATGACAAGCTATGGACAATGTTGGGTATTCCAGGACACTTAATTGTGCTTATGAGACAGTTGTTTGAACAGAACAAGGGGACACTGAATAATTTAAAATGAGAAAAGGTGTGCACCGAGGTTGTATTCTTTCACCGTACTTATTCAATCTGTATGCTAAGCAAATAATCTGAGAAGATGGATTGTATGAAGAAGAACGTGGCATCAGGATTGGAGGAAGACTCATTTACAACCTATGATATGCAGATGATACAAACTTGCTTGTTGACTTAAAATACTAACAGATGAAAATCACAGACACAGCCTTCAGTATAGGTTGCACCGGGATGTAAAGAAAACAAAAATCCTCACCACTGGACCAATAACCAATATCACCATAAATGGAGAAATGATTGGTGTTGTCAAACATGTCATTTTGTTCACACCAACCATCAACACTCTGGGAAGCAGCAGTCAAGAAATCAAATGATGTATTGCATAAGGCAAGTCTACTGTACAAGACATCTTTAGACTGTTCAAGAGCAAAGATATCAGTTTAAGGATTAAGGTACTCCTGACCCAAGCCATGGTATTTTCAATAGCCTCATATGCATGTGAAAGTTGGACAGTGAATAAGGAAGGTCATAGAAGAATTGATGCATTTGAGTTATGGTGTTGGAGAAGAATATTGAAAGTACCACGGACTGCCCAACAAACAAACAAATCTATGTTGGAAGAAGTATAGCCAGAGTGCTCCTTAGAAGCCAGGGTGGACAGACTTCATCTCTCATGTTTTGGACATATGATCAAGAGATACCAGTTCCTGGAGAACATCGTGATGTTGGTAAAGTGGAGGGTCAGTGAAAAGGAGAAGACCACCAACAAGATGGATTGGACAGCAGCCATGGGCTCAAGTGTAGTAATGATTGTGATTTTGGCGCAGGACTGGGCAGTGTTTCGTTGTGTTGTGCGTAGGGTTGCTATGAGTCGGAACTGACTCAATGTTACTTAACAAAAACAACAATCCACTCATGGCAGATGAGGTTACTGTTCGCTGAACATTTCCATCAAAGATTCTATGAAAGAATCCTAGTCAAAAGAGGGGTATTCAGAACAGACTTTCAAATGCAAACTTTCTGGAGCCATTGAGGCTTAGTGAACCCCTAGTATGATTGCCCTGAGATAGCATCTTTAAACCTTAAACCAAATATTCCCTGAAACCTGAAAAGCCGTGCCTTGGTGTAATGAGTAAAGAATATCAGCTCTGATCATTGTGATCTTTGTTAAGAGCTGTTTCTATGAGGACAGATGATTTCTTTGTGAACAAATTGACAACAATGATTCAAAAGAGTAGAAAGGAAGCTTAGTGGGCTATGAGTCTGTGCTGGGGAGGGGAGGGATCATTCAAATAAGGAGGGATTAAAATTGGATACAGCTTAAGGAGTATGATCAATGCCACCGAATTGTCCATTTAGGAATGGTGGAATTGTATTTCTGTTATGTGTATTCTCAAGAACAACCAAAAATAAAATCTTAACAACAGGTCAGCCTTAAAATAAATGATGTCATAATATCTACTTGGTTTCATTAGATTAGAAAGGCTTAAGAATGCAGAGTATCCTGAACTTTGATTAATAGTACATGGAAAATTACTACATTTGCTGTAGCTGTTATGTGAGGTGCGGTTGGAAAAGAACAAGTTCTAGGAAAATGTTATTACTAATGAATAATAATAGAAGATTTAATAAGGGATGTGTTGAAATGGAGCCCCCAAACTAAGGCCGAGTCAGTAATGGGATAACTTTGGAGTATGCCCAAAATTCCGTAGCTTGACCAGCTCTTCTAGCATGAGAGGAAAAGAACATGCCATCCATCACTCAGCGTCAAAAGAACTTGGCTTCTGAACCTCCTTAAAGAGCCTGCGCATGGACTTGGAGTGAGAAACTTGCTGAGTTCTATCCAGTCTGCTAGGCACTGTCCTCGGCTTCCCTTTCATCTGGCAGGACACACAGTTACATTAGTAAAGAGCTAATGTATTAATGGAAGTTAGACCCTCGTCAGATGACTCACTGGGCTGGAATGTATTTTCTGTGCCATTCTGTTCGGGTCCCCTTCCAGAGACTAGCATGTGACAATCAGTGAAAGACAAATCTTAAAGAAAGCATCTTTAAGATTAGACACGTTTCGGTTCAAGCTTAAGTGTTTGGTTCACTCCGTTTTTTAAAGCCTGTGACCATCAAGACTCTGGGCCCCCTTGACATCTCATTAGAGTTTGGACCATACATCAGGAGGTTCTGGTGCTATCCCAGCTTTATCAAGATGGACTTCTGGTCTATGTCTTCTCCCATGACATGTGTACTCGGGGAACGAGGGTGGACAGGGAGATAGGAACGTGAACGGTAAAGCTGGAAACCTAGGCCAGCTTCCATCCCAACTCTGTGTTCTCACCACTTTGTCCACAAGATGGAAAAGGAGAGCGAAATAGATGTGGGAGATGGAGACTGTTTCTCACGCCACAGATGTTTATTCATGAACCCGAAGGCCCGTGGCTAGATTGCACAGTACGTATAGAACACCATGTTTTTCCACTACAGATTAACATTTCATACGCTCCAGGCTAAATGTCAACTTGAAAATGTTGTCTTTCTGAGACACGTTTCCTCAAAATAAAAGGTGGATGACCATATACTCTTGGAGTCCTGGTGTGGCACTGTAGGATAAGCACTGGACTACAAGGTCAGTTTGAACTGCCAAGTCCATAGTTCAAACTCACCATCCACTCCTCTGAAACCCTATCCAGGGTTGCTATGTGTCAGAACTGGCTTAACTGTACTTAACAACAGGAACCATTATGTACCTGGCAACTTAATCACTTTGTACACTGGGGTCCTGGGATATGCCTGTTGCATACGGGAAGTGGTTTTATTTCCTGTTGTCCTATTCTGTTGATCGGTGCCACTGTAGGATCAGCACTGGACTGTGAACCACAAGGTCAGCAGTTCAAACCCACCAGCTGCTCCTTGGAAATGCTATACAGAGTTTCTGTGAGTCGGAACCGACTCGGCTGCACTTAACGACAACATTCTCGCCTTGTGAGACCACAGATGTATGTGTGGTCAGGTAGTGTGCCTGGACAGGTAATATGTGGTGCCTGATTTTGTGTGAATATATCTGGCTACCTTACTCGGTAGTGCGCAATATTCTTAGAGTTTCTAAAATGCAACAAAACATGTACTTTATCTCTCGAATGAGTGAGATGGGAAAACGAGTATTCTCTCATTTAGATTGGCCTCTGGATTCTGACACTTCAATATCACTTCTGCTTCATGACTTTAAAACAGAAAAATAATATCTTTGGGGAACTAACTTTTCCTTCTTTAGTGCCCACACTGAGTGTCGCATATTTAAAACTCAATAACACTCTAACCTTTGGAAAAAACTTGTTTTTTTCAATGCGTATTTCTAGAATCTATATACAAGTGTTTCGCCCTAAGTTGGAATTGACTTGACGACTGGTTGTATTTTGTTTGGTTTGGTATGTACGAGGAGAGCTTCCAACAGTTCTTGGGAAACTTGTGTTATCTTTGAGTTCTATTTTTCCATGAACTTTCTGAAGTCCCCTCATATTCACTTGGAGATGGTCCTCCCAGATGGGCCTTTCTAAGAGTGAGTGATGATTTCAAGTGTTTCTCTTTTTCAGTGGTTTAAAGGATCCTTTTCTTCCTTGTTCACCTTCTTTTAGGAGCGTCTTCTCCTCTCCCTGCTGCCAGCTCACATTGCCATGGAAATGAAAGCTGAGATCATCCAGAGACTGCAGGGCCCCAAAGCGGGCCAGATGGAGAACACCAACAATTTCCACAACCTGTATGTCAAGCGGCACACCAATGTCAGGTACCATGTCTGGAGTTCTAGTAAACTCTGGGGAGTCTGTGTGGTGGGGACATTTTAACTGGTGTGCAAACCTCACAAAATCATGGTGTGTCCTATGCGACCATCAGTGATCTGCCCACCTGCAGGCTGCCTTTGTACGAAGACAAGGACATAATATCTTCTTTACTCTGTTGTGCTGAGGTATCCTTTCGTAGTCTTGTTCTCCAAGACTCACAAAGGTGTGAGGTGGACCATTGGAGACCTCCTTCTGTACCTCTGCAGTTACAGCTCGTGCGTTTCTGGAGTCAAGGATGCTGCACATTTGGGGGAGAACTGAAAAGACGAGTGGGCTTTCTAGACGGAAGATTGAAAACTGAAGATGAGCTTTTCTTGGTGGTGGTGGTGTGCCGTGGAGTCGGTTCCAACTCCTAGCCACCCTGCATAGGGTTTCTAAGGCTGTAAACCTTTACGGGAGCAGAAAGCCTCACATCTTTCTCCTGTGGAACAACTGGTAGTTTCAAACTGCTGACCTTGACTTTACTAGCCCGACTCGTAACCACTATGCTACGAGAACTACTGTTCTTGGTGGGGGGCTCCTGAAACCAGCATGTTTCAGGAAAGCGGGGTCCAGCTCCCATCAAGGACGGTGGACTTCTGGGATGTGGCCAACCAGCATGGCAAGAGACCATGTTCATGAGTTTACGGGCGGGGTCAGTGCATCTGGAGGCTACTGCTGAGGGAGCCATACCTGTAAAATAAATGTGTTAGCAGAACGAGATTGAAGGAAGGGTGTGGGCCTCTACGGGCCTGAGCCCCCCAGGAGGAGCCTAGTGGATCTTCTCTTCTGTCTGGAGAGGATATGCTATCCTGTGTCCTGCTCAGACAAAGCTTGGCACGTGTGAACCATGCCGCCCTCATCCATCCCCATTTCCTGTGTCCTGGCATTCCTGATATTTGCTCTTGACTAAGTTCTTCCATCCATTGGGTCATATTGAAGAGGAGAGTTTTCTTTAACAATCACCCATTTTGTTCCAGTGTTGTTAGATCTGCTGCCAAACAGGAGGCCTTGTCACCCGCTCCACCCCCTGGCCAGGTTGTCAGTTCAGTGGCGACAACAGCGTTAATCACACGCCTCTGTTGAGTATCTACTGGTCCAAGTCTTCCTACTGCAATATGCTATTTCCTGTCCTGGGGGCTACAGGTCCACATTTCTTTCAAATTCATTAATAGAAACAATTGAATTGTAAAGTAAACACAATACTAGAACAAGTACCTTGCTAGCCCCAGATTTACAAAGGACACATAGCTCTAAAGGAACCCCAGTAGTGCTGTAGGGTATCACCAGGTTAGGAGTTCAAGTCCACCATTTGCGCCCTAGGGGAAGGATGAGGCTATCTGTTTCCATAAAGACTTACAGTCTCAGAAACCCTCTGTGGAACTATGAATTGGAAGCAACTCCTTAGCAATGGATTTGCATTTGGGTTTTATGTAATGTTAACAACATACATGATCCCAACATGCATGGTTGTACATGAATAATATGAAAGGAATGTCAAGCAGGA